TTCAACGGGTCACAGAATTCATGAATAAAATCCCATCCTTATTTCCATTCAAAAAGGAATAAAGATTTATTACCCAGCCTCGACAGGAAAGCAGTATTGACCCACCAATGAGTCAAGGTATATGGTATTGCATGCAGAAATATTTATTGCTTTTAATTACCATAAACTAGCAAGGAACTTTTTAAAAATAATTTTTATTACTATTTTTTATTGTACTGTGGAAAAGAAAAATGGAATTGCCAGCAAAGCCTCCTGAGAATACAAGGTGATGGAATGAAAGACAGTTTGATGCTGATGGGTTAAATGAAAGGTCACTGCCAATCAAGAGATCTTGGCAGCACATTGGTAAACCTGCTTTGAAGCATCATTAACCCCATTTTACTGACAAAAAAAAAAAAAAAAACAGACAGGGAGTACCCCTAAAGATCTCTGAAGACACTACCTGGGATTCCTAGGGGAGGAAATTTGGTACTTAAACATGAGAAAATTATGGCTTGAGCAGTTGCAAACTGGAAGAGGTGGATTCAGATGGTGAATATTGGGGGGCAGAGGATGGTTGATGCCATCCTCTGAGATCACCCACAGGGTCTGGAGGACCCAGGTGCCACCCACTGGGCGTCCCTTGCCCAGAGGAAGGAGAAGACCCCCTCTGCTCTGTGCATGGCATTCATTTCCCAGCTGCAGCCCCTGCCAGCAGGCTGGGTTAGAACTCACAGGTGCTGCAGGGCTCCAGGGCAGCCGGCCCAGCCTGCTGCTGCCCCTCACCTTCCCTGCTCTGCCTCCCTCCACACACCCACCTCTCCTCCCTGGCCAGCACCAGGAACCTCTCAGTGGGGGAATGTAAGGCAGGCTTGGTGCTGCAGCAGGTGATTGACAGGCAGGCTGTGATAATGAAGTCCATTTTTATTTTTTATCTCTTGTCAAGGTACAAGGACTCGGCCAGTGTCCCAGGTAATGAGCGTTCCCTTGCCCTCTCCCTCACTTGGATTTGAAAGTGTGTGTAGCCATGTGTAGCTGTGTTAACACTACATTACTAAAACCAATCCTGGGAGCCTGTTCCTGCTGCACACCTCGCTGGCTCCAGCACTTCCTCACGTTGATTTGCATTCATGCAGTCTGTGTAAACAACGCTTTTCAGGGAATATAAATAACTGCAGCCAGGAGTGCTGCTCAGCAGCATCCCTCAGCTCCTGCTGCAGGGCTGGGGCACAGCCCAGACCCTTTCCCTGAAATGGAGGGTGCTCCTGCATCCCAACCTTCTCTGCCTCAGCCCAAGAAGCCAAGGTGGAGTACTGGAGGCTGCTTTTCAAGGAGCCTTTTCATCCTGACTTCAAAAACCATGAGGAAGCCTTTTAAAAGAGCTCAATTTTCCTGCATCCGTGATGCTGGGCCTTTTGGGGACGTGCTGTGGTTTGGGCTGTAGCTGCTGGAGTTTTCTCTAGGTGTTGGCAGAGAAAGGCAAACACAGAATCCCAGAATGGTTTAGGGTGGGAGGAATCTTAAATATCACCTTGTTCCACCCCCTGCCATGGGCAGAGACATCTTTCAATGTTGCTCCAAGCCCTGTCCAGCCTGGCCTTGGGCACTGCCAGGGATCCAGGGGCAGCCACAGCTGCTCTGGGTACCTGTGCCAGGGCCTCACACCCTCACAGGGAACAATTCCTTCCTAACACCTGACCTAAACATCCCTCTTTCAGAAAGTGATTCAAATTGCCATCGGTCTGATTTACCTGTGGGAGAGCTGACTCAGTGTATGCAGGACAGGTGGGGTGAGGTGTGATCCCCCAGCAGGTGAGAGGAGCTCCCACCTAACACCCCTCAAGCTCACATGTCTCTCCTCCAGGCTCAGTATGTGCAAAGTTTCCCCCAAATTGAGTTCAACAAGAACTGCAGTGCAGACCCTGCTCAGAGATACCATGAACTAAAAAAGGGGTTAGCACGAAGTGAAATGTTTTCAGTCAGCTCAGAGCTGGGCTCAGGGGTGTGAGGTGTTTGAAGTGGAGCTGCCACTGCTCCCCATGCCCAGGGACAGCACTGCCAGCCTGGCCACCACCATCTCCTCAGGATGGCTTTGCTTCATCTCCCCTTGACCTCTGCAGGCAGGGACAGCATCTTCAGAAGCACCACCCAGGAACTCCGCGTTAATTAGGCACAGCAAACATAAAACTCTCAGGTGGAGGTGACCAAACCAGATCAAGTATTTTTGATTTCACTCCCAGTAAGAACAAAAACATCTAAGAGCACTAAATATTTAAGGGATTAAAACTGAAATTTTCTGATCTTCTAAGGATTCACATAAAGCCTGGTCTGGAGTTGCAATCTTACATCCAGATTTGGATCCATAGCTGGCTCCTAAACTTAGCTTGGAAGATGACATTTTTTACAAACTTTCCCACTTGAAATTTAAAATTCCAGGAGAATGCTGGCACAATCTCTGCAGATTTCTGAAATCTGCACTTTGCTCTACAATCTCAATCCTTTCAGTTTTTTTCTTTTTTTTTCTTTAGCTGAGCTGAAGTAACTCAGATTGACAACACACCGTCTATTTAATTGGCTTCATATGGTTCTATTTTAACATTTGGATTAGAATAATATTTCAGAAAATGACTGCTATTATTTTTTAACAGATGGTGAAAGATCCACCAACATAGGAAGTGAGTCACAAGTTGTGCTGTAAATAATAAATAATAATATTAATAGTAATAATAGTTCTGCTGACAAGGTAACAAGGGCTCCGATTTGCTGTTACACAGGAAAACTAATAAACCAAAGTGCAAAGCACCTCAGAAATCTTTTATTTTAATTAGCAATGAACAAACTCATTCTGCCAAATGCTGAACTCACTGGAACACTGGTGGCTTCGCATTTTGCTTAGGAGACACTTTGAAAGAGTAAGGAGGAGATGGAGGGGACAGCCAAACTCTAATGAGAAAATACAGTATATGCATCTCCAGCTGGGCTTCTTTTAGCACCATTTCACAAGTGGAGAAGGAAAAATAATTCCTGAGAAAATAGTAGTGAATGGAATTTGAATTCCTGCATGTCTCCAGTGTGATGGCCTTTGCTTAGGGCCAGCCTCTCAGTGTGGCCCATTTGCCTTTAAAATGTCAAGTGCAGGTGTCCTTATCATATTTTCTCTCCATTTTGCCACCACTGCAGTGGATTTGCACATCCTCTGTGCTGCCACAAACCTCCCCACACTCCCTGAGGAGGACCAGGGTGGCAAGAAGAAGAAGGACAGCAATGGAAAACCTCACCTCTGGATTCTCCTGAGGTCACCCATAGTGAGGGTGGGGACATCACACTGTGCCCAGCCTCAATCCTTGCCAGCTGGAAGATGTTTTTTTAATGGACAAACTCTGGCCTGGCTCTTGTGTGAACCTCAGGGCATTCAAGTTAAGTACAACAGGCTTGGGGTAAAGAAGACTTTGTGGTGAACAAGCTGTGCCTTGCCTGAGGAACAACTGCACATCACAGCTGGCTCCAGATGTGCTCAGTAACCCCACTGAAGAGGCAGGATAAGAACCCTGAGTGCCCACCCTGCCCTTGTTTCTTCCATGTCTCTGTGATTGTCGTTGTGGTGGAGGAAATGTTCACACTCAGCAACAGGCAGAGAAGGGACCAAACACAGAGCACTGCCCACTTTTGCTGGTAGTTCACACTCACACTGTGGCTTTCAGACTGTGGGCTTAAAAAAGAAATCATCTGGTTTTTGAAAAAGCTGGGTTTTCTTTCTTGACTCACATAATAGAGCAAGGAAATGCAGGCCCAGATTTTAAAAGCCCTGCACTGAGCTTTCTTGGCAAAAGAAAGTTCTCATCTTCAATCCATAGGATCTTTTGACAACGTGGCCCTCCTCTCCTCAAGTTCTTGCAACTTCAGAAATTACTTTGGGGATGAAGTCAACATAAAAAGGGTTTCATGACTTTAGATCTCTCCAGAATTGTTTAGCTGCCACTGATAGGAGTCCCCAGCAGCTTCTAACCCGCTGTCCTTTGCTTGTCAGAGCTCACTCCATCCTTTATCCTGCTGAGAAACTGGGAGAGAATGGAGACACAGCAGACATCTCACTGTCCATGAGGAGCTGTCTTTCTGCCCCCCTGCCAAAGAAGAAGTCAGAATTCATCTGTGCTGGTTTCAAGGTTGTTTATTCTGTTTATCTCTAACATGTTCTGCTGCCCTGCCGCAGCTCTGTCCTGCAGGGCAGCGTGTGGGGCTCTGCCCTCAGTGGGATGGTACAAACATTAAATACCAGAAACTACCTGTGCTGGATTTACAATAACGTGCCAATATCTGTCACCTACGTTGGACAGTGTGTCCCCAGCCTAAACCAACAGAAAAATGCCAACACTGCAGTGAAACATGGAGGGCATGAAGAAGGAGAAAAAGGACAAGACACACCCAATTTCCTCCATCTTGTCCCCTTTGGAACCTAATCTAGAATCCTAAAATTTTACTTTTGCACCCATGCCACACTTAATTATTACTTCTATCAAACACTCAGAGCCTGTAATTCATCCTGTAAGATTGAAAACTCTTTTCCATGGACAGAGATCACAGACAGTGTCTCTGGGGGCTCTGTCCAGGGGGGTTCCTGACCCCTGCCAGGGTCCCAGACCTGCCAGGGCAGCCAGAGGGATGCCCTGGATTCCCACAGAGGAGGAGCAGAGGGAGCCTGGATGAGCTGGCTGCAGCACAGTGCCAGGCTGCTGAGGCCTCACCGTGGCACCGGTGCTGATGTGCTGTTTGTGAAGTGCAACTCAACGCCTGGACTCTCACCAAAATCTTGTAATTTACCCTGCAAATTTAGGTTTGATGGGACATCAAGGTCTCTGTCCTACAATGAGCTTGTTAGGCCCTTCAAGGCTTGGATTGTAAGGTCCTTCAGGGATCGGACTGTTCAGATTTCCCCCGGGGACTCACTGTGACTCAATAGAGGTGGCATTCTCTGCATCCAAGCTAATCAGGGCTCCCTTCCTCACCAAGGGAGAGAAATAACACCCCAAGGGCAGGATTCCTGTCTTGGTACATGTGGCCCTCATGCACATCTGGGGTGCAAGAAATCACCTGTCCTGGAGAGCTGCTGAGACAAAGAGGAACGTAAGCTCTGAAAGATTCACATCAGGTTAAGCCTGTGCCAGATTTTGACACTTACCCTATCCTTGCCCCTGAGTCTATCTCAGAAGGTATCTGAATTTCTGAATTCCTCTCATAATTAATTCATAGTTAATCTTGAATAGGTGTGATTTTAATAATCATTCAGCACATCTAATACTGCAGAATTGCCGCACCATTGAACTCGAAATTACACGAAATGAGACAGCTATTTAAATAATGGCCTCTTCTGAGCTGGGCTGCTTGGACTTTCTGCTGCAGACATGTCCAGGAGCACTGAGGCACTCTCAGGATGTTGCACCATTTCTGCAGCCCTGTAGAGATATATTAATATATGCATTAATATATTTTAGTGACTTGTGGTCTACTTGGGAAGCTGCTTGCCTATTTATCTGTAGTTTCACAAATGATCATGAGAAAGCTTCTATTCATTGCCTGCTGTTTTCTCTTGTAGGATTAAAAATGTTTTAGAGGCTGCTCTTTGTATTTATTCATCAGTGATAATGAAGTAAAATACTGAGTTTTAAATGACTGTACATTAGTGGTCATCTCACTTAGCATAGTGCCCCCAGAAATCTTTTTTAATGGAACTTTCCTCTTCTGGACATGCAAATAATGTGCATTAACTCACACATTGAACATGTCATGTAAAATACTTTTGGTGTAGATTTACTCATTTAACTGAATACAAACCTGGAACAAACATTTTGCTCTCCTCATTTTTTTAACTTCTGACTCTTGAAATGATTGATGGATTGAAATGAGTAAATAAGTGGAGATTTAATACAAGCTAGGATTGAGGAAAGATTTTTAAAGTGACTTAATGACTGAGAAAATGACTAATCATGACTAATAACCAAGAAGTACATCTGGGAAAACAGAGATATTTGGGTCTTTTTTCTGATGTTGCAGCTATACCTGAGCTCCCCTGGAAATAAGAAAACTCTGATTTTTCTTTTTCTTTTTCTTTTCCTTTTTTTTTTTTTTTTTTGGTGCCCATACAAGTCATATAAATGTTCATAGGAACCAGAGGATGAGCAAAGACACAAAATTTAGGAGTGTCCTTAGGATGATTTTGCTTCGGTTGCCTATAGGATTTCGGTGCCATTTATCAATGGAGATGAATGGTCTAATCAATTTTAATTTAAAAGCCTCCTATATTGCATTTTCCAGACATCTCATTTGCTACAATGCCAGGCAGAAGAACCCCTTTTTCCTATGGCACTGGTGATTTATTCCAGCATACTTTCCCATGGGATTTATATATTGGTATTTTCATCCACACCATTAAATTCACCTTTTTACCTTTTTATTTCTTATCTCACTTTTCTGACATCAAGTCCATCCGTTGGCCTGTGACTCCTCATAGGTTTTGGGTTCCTCTCTAGAAGGTTTGGAGGGGAAAGGATGCAAAGCAGCAGAAAACACCAACTCTACAAGCAGCAATGTGTGTGCAGGGGGAAGGATTAACAGGATTACCCAGATGGAGCAGGCAATTTCTGACCCACAGGATGAGTCTGGAAGTGCAAAGAGTTCCCATCTCTGTCAGACAAGGTTATAGGGTCAATGATCATTAGGAAGAGGTTCTAATTAAGAAGAGATCCTCCCAGTCCTACATCTGTACAAAAATTTGTAGGCCTCAGTTTGCAAATGGACACAAGTCCAGACCACTCTGAAAGGGAACTGACAAAAAATACTAGATGGGAAAAATGCTGGGTGTGGGCTAGGAAAATTCACTGAGGAGTAGGCAGCTCCATGTGGCTGCAGTGGGGTGGGGGCTGAGAGGTCCAGCAGTGCAAATGTTCCACAGCCTGGCCTATATTTGGGTATGGTTTGAATGTAGTTTGGATGTGTTGTCTTCTGGGCCACTGATTTTCATGGGCACCCATTCTTTGGCCAGTTGATTGCTAGATCATTTAAGATTATTTCTGGGAGGACCTGCCATCCTCAGGACACTCAAAAGCGATGCCAAGGCAGCCCAGGGAGAGGAATTGTGATATTATTCAGGAAAACAGCACAACTCAGTCATGTGTGGGATTTGCACATCCCACAATCAAAAAATTGCTATATTTTCTATTGAATTCAGACAGCAGATAAGTTAGAAATCATTAGCACCTCCATGGCAGAATCAGGATTTATTACACAGAAGGCTGTGGCTTGAAGAAGCAGAGTTTCTCTCCTTGCTCTACATGGATCCTGTGCTTGACAGTAGGAATAATCCTGTCCCTACAGTCCAGCCAGCAGGAAAATAACTTTTCAGGGGCTCTGCAGGGCCCAGGGCAAACAAAATGATCCATGATTCACTTCAGGACTTCTGTTTTTCTCATGCCCAGCACAGCTTCTGATTGGTTTCCTTCCCAGGTCTGCTTTATCCTTAAGGCCAGAAAATCCCCAAAGGTGGCATTTTTCAGATCTCCATCAGGGTTGTGGCTCCAATGGAAACTCACAGGATCTCTCCCCCACACCAGGTCTCTGGGCCCTTGTGTGGTTTTAGCTGGGTGATGTCTCCCTGTGGGAAAGACTGTGGGATTATGGCAGCAGGAGGAGAAACAGCACAGGAGAGAGCCCTGATTTAGAATTTCACCCCCTATGCCACCATCCCTGACCCCTTGTGTGAGGAGCCAAGGGGTTTTTCTGATTCCAGTCCTGATTTGATAAGCAGAGGGAAGCACTGAGGTTTATAGTCCTGTTGAACATAAACATTGATTTTTAAGGCCTAATCGTCTGCTGCAGCTGAACGACATCCAAGATTTTTTTATTATTATTTTTGTAGCTGGAATTGATCAGCTGGAGAAGGGAGGAATAAAGAGGAAGCAGAGAAACAGCTGTGACTTAGTTTTTTTTGTGTTGCCCAGGCAAGGATGCTGCGGCTCTGTCACTCACACAGCCCCCACTCTCTGGGATGCTGCTGGCACCAGGGATGTGCTGCTGAATGAGCCCTTGTCAGCTGCCATCCCCTGCCATCCTCACTGGCTGGCTCCCTCACAGCCCCTATTTAGCTTCCTTGCTGTCTTCCTCATAAATATTCACACCACACAGCCAGCGGAAGACTTTGTTTTTTCCTTAATTTCCATATTCAGCGTGACATCAAAAATGTTTCAGAGATGGGTTCAGCAGGGGCTGTGCATCCAGGGAAGAGGACAAGAGGGAGCAAGGTGTCTGTGCTGGGTGGAGGTGGGGGAGAGAGGACAAGAGCAGGCAGCAGTGAGGAGACAGGGAACAAGGTGAGGGAAAGAGGAGAGCTGGGGATTAACTTGGTCGAACAATCACAGCAAAATGAAGCTGTTCCCATTCATAACCCAGGCAATCCATGTCCTCATCAGGAGGTTTTCATAAGTGATTAATGGTTAATTTGTTAAAATTCAATGAAATCTTGTTTCCTCTCTTTAAATTAGAATTCAGAGAGAGAGGGAGAGAGAGACGGTCCCAGCCATCCCCTGCTGCTTCTCGACAGAATATAATTCATCTGCCAGAAATGGCTATTGCTTTCAAAGGATTACAAATAAAATAGAAACATAGCCTGGGGCAACAGCCACAGAGCTCTGGAAGGCTCAGCCCAGTCAAAGGGGCAGAGGGAAGACCTGGAACCCCTGAGTGCCTTGGCAGGCAGTCTTTGGAATAAAGCCAGAATCAGCGTGGTTGAAGCAGGGGCAGTTCAGTCCTACTCTGAATTCTAATCTGCTGCCATGGGACAGGATTTCTTCTGCTCACATTACAATAAGGAAGGCCCAGGATGAGGCACTAGCGCTGGAAATCTCTGGGGGTGATTTCCATGCTCTGCTTGGGATGGATGGCACACAGGGGGCTGCTCTGGGGAGCAGAAGGGAACAAGCATTTAATGGCAGGGACACATACTTTGGAGACTGGGCAACTTTTTGTTCTTTCCTGCTTTATTTCATGAGTGTGGCATTTTACTGATGGTGTGCAAGCACTGCTTATACAGAGAGGAATATATGTAATTGGTTGTGAGCCATTACGGCGACAACCCCACTCCAGCTGTCAGACTAATTTGCTTCTATATAAAATCATTATCCTCATGAGATGTCTCAGAGTCTCTCAAGCCACTGGATCTGACATCAGACGTTATGTTCCAAACCACAGACTCTGCCCTTATTTGCCTGAGACAGGAAACTCAAAGATTCATGGCTCCCATTGATAGGAAGGGATTGAGTAAAGATTACTCTAGTCATAGGTATTGAAACACACAACTCAGTGCTGCTGGAGTGGCTCTGAGACAGACACCCAGGCTGGAGAGAGATTCTCCAAGTCCCATGGTAGATGTTCTAGTAATTAATTAATACTTAAAAAAAAAATCCACTTAATTCATTTCTGTGTCAGTTACCAACTGTGTGAACTTTTTTCTGCTAGACTGAAAAAGACTCTTTAAGTGTTTTTTCTGAGCATAATTGGAAGGTCTTTTGCCTTATTTTGAAAATATCTTTGTTCTAATTTTAAAAGAAATGTTAGGGTTTTTTTCAGGTTTTGTTCTGTGATTCTATTAAGTATACAGAGAATTTAATTGTTTCTATTTGATTTTTAAGCTGAAACATTGCAATGCAAACTCTTAGTGATCTTTTAAGATTCACCCTTTTCCGAAGTTCGGCTACTAATTTATACCAACTCCTTTATCCTGAACTGAAACCTGCTTATCTGAGAACTCTCAACACACTCTATCAGAAGTTCTGTCTTATATTTATCCTCCTAAGGGAAAAATCATGGAAAAAACCTTAAACCATTACTCCTTTTCACATGGCACCTCCAGTTTGAGTTACCTGGCTGCTTCTCCCCATCATGTAACTGGTAAAAAATGGAATTGCTTCCAACCAAAAGTATACATGTAATACACCTCTGTTTTGTGAAAAATACAAAAAAAAAAAAATAAAAAAAATTCATTTGCTGAGCAACATAAAATTATTGCAGTAAATCAAATGCCTATTTATGTGCTCTAGGTACCTTACAGAGAACATCAGTATTGCACTCTTAGCTTTTCTGCCATGGAGAACACTGCTTTTGATTATGGTGGAAGAGGCATTCTCATTCTATTCCCTAATTATAGAATATTAAAACATTTCCTATGAAAATAACCTTACGAGTAAAATTTTTCAAGATTCTTCCCAGAAAATGATGAGATTTTCTTTTTGAATTTTTTTTTTTGTAGGGGAAGAAACATCCGTCTTAATAAGTATGTGGGTATTTAGCCACTTTGAGGTTAGCTCTGTGTGAAAAGAAAAGATGAATTTATTGACACACTTTGTGATATTTTGTGGGGGTTTTTATTGGTAGCTGAAACACTGCTTGGTTTTCATGCACTTAATGGATTAAGATACAGTTGTCTTTTCTTTTATGCAGTGCTATTGTTGTATGAAGGCCCAATACTTTGATTTAACACAATTTTTTGGACAGTGATGCACTTCTACGACAAGGAAAGGTGAAAAAACAGGTCTCAAATTGCTGACTGCAGAAATACAGCCTGAAAGTGTTGCTACCCCAACCCACAGATGTCCTGCTGCCTTTCATCAAGATTCCCTGTGCTGTTATATCCTGTAATCACATTCCCCCAATTTTTCCTGCCTGTATTTTTGCTGCTTCTGCTGTGACCTGTGGCAAGAGGTTCCAATCAGGATCGAGACCCCACTGTGCCAGACACGACACAAAACCTTGTAAGACCCAGTCCTTGTCCCCAAAAGCAGACAGAGTCAGAAAGCAGCCAAGGGGTTGAAGAGACAGCGTGACTTCTTTACTTTTTTTTTTTTTTTTTGGCAGGACACAAGCAAACCATTAAACTCTGCAATTTCTACATCTCTCTGCTGCTGCAGTACTCTGAATTCCACCTGTGAATTACACTGAATTCCATGTGTGTGAGAAGCAGTACAACTGGAAAGGGACAATGTGGGTTTTCAACACAGGCATTGTGTTATTTGAGTCACCATGTATTTGTTCTCTGGACTTGGATTCAGAGACTTAAAACTTCCAAGCTTGGAAATGTAGACCCTTCATCTTGTGAAACGTTCTGGCTTTTTTGTGTTTACAGAATCCACCTCAACTCCTCCCTTAAATAAATGTTTGTGCTCAGTGATTACTCCTTATCTCTTGCTTACAGTGTTAATAAGAAATTGAACATTCTTCTGCTGTTTTGCAGGATCCATGGCACCTGGGCACCAACTTTCAAGAAATGACATTTCCTGATTTTTGTTTGTTAGGATTCCCAGGCATCTCGTGGTACCTGTAAATCTCCTGAGCCCTGGATTAAAGGCAGCTCTGTGAACAAGAGGAATGTGGAGGGATTCTCCAGAAAGGAGCACAGCAAGGAGGTGTCAGAGCAATGGATGGCACACAAGCATTTTCCTCCCAGCTCCTTTAAGACAACATCCCCACTGAGAAGTGATACACTCTATCTAATACTCAGCTCACTCAAGCTGTCACAGAGCCAGTGAATTTGTTTGAGTTATGTTGATTCACACCAACACAGTAGCCAGTCCATCATACTTACTCAAATTTAAATATTTTTCCCCTTCTTTGACTTAATCAGAGTTGTTTTCCCCCTGGAGCATCAATAATGAAATATTTGATGTATTTATTTATTGCAAATTCTCACTTTAATCAAGTGATTCTTCAGTGGACCTCGTTTAGCCTCGAAGTAATTGTTTTACTGATGCTTCAGCATAAAGAGATTGGACATTTCCTGATTAATAGGTTTCAAAACATATTGTCTGGAACATGCAAGCTGAGCATCACTCTTAAAAATATGGTCACATGGATTACACGGTCCCTAGGCTGTGGAGCTGATGCAAGCTTTCCAGTGGACCAGAATTAAAATCTCCCTCATTTTTCTCCTGTTTGTAGCAAGAGCCACCTGGTATTGCAGCAGAGGTGGATTGTCAGTGAGAATGCTCCTAATGAGTTTTCCACTCATTAATATTTGCATTATTCAACTCAATGACAACAAGGTTAGAGGCTTCCCACTGGCTGTTGCAACAATTGGGGTTGATTGATGAGATTTGGAGAACAGTGAAAGGAGAAGGAGGTAAGAGAAGGAATGTCCAGCCCTTGGAAATAACAGCTGGGGGAGAAGGGGGAGACAAGGAATTTTGGAAGGGCTGAATGGAGGAAGGTTGGAATTAGAATGGAGGAAGGTTGGAATTAGAGGTGTAACTTTATTCACAATGCAACTGTGATCCATCCGGGCCAGGGTGCCCCACAATTGCACTGTGTGCCCCATCAAGGAGGGTTTCCTGTGGCCCTGAGCGGGCAGCTGACTGCAAAAAATCCGAACATCATAGGATAAGTCCCAGACAGGAGCTGCCCCCACCTCATACTTGTGCTGCCCTGACAGTCCCAGGGGAGCCCTACAAACTGACATCAGGAACCTGGACTGGTGAGTTTTCTTTCCCAGGGAAAAGAGCCGATGTTTGCGCTCAGAGTCCTGTGGCCCTGTGCGGGCAGATGAGTGAAAAATCCGAACATCGAAGGATAAGTCCCAGACAGGAGCTGCCCAGAGCGCAAACATCGGCTCTTTTCCCTGGCAAAGAAAACTCACCAGTCCAGTTTCCTGATGTCAGTTTGTAGGGCTCCCCTGGGACTGTCAGGGCAGCACAAGTATGAGGTGGGGGCAGCTCCTGTCTGGGACTTATCCTTCAATGTCAGATTTTTTGCAATCAGCTTCCCGTTTAGGGCCACAGGACCCTGAGCACAAACATCGGCTCTTTTCCCTGGGAAAGAAAACTCACCAGTCCAGGTTCCTGATGTCAGTGGGGCTCCAGGGAATTCAGCATGCACAAAGAACAAGGAGCCTTCCCAAAGTCCTTCTCTGCCATCACAGTGCCAAGCTGGGGAGGTATTTATACTTTTGCCTAACAACATGTGTTTTACAAACTCCTGTAGGGTTGCAGGTGTCCTTCAAAGGCATTTTCATCCTTTGAGATGGGAGGGAAGAGGAGCAGAATATTGCCATTCCTGTGATCTTCCCGTTTAGATTTTTGGGACTGCTCAAAATGACCGTGTAGAGGAGAACATCAAAGGAAAACCAATTTTTGCCTTTATGGTTGATTTTTTTTGGGAGATTTCCTTTGGCAGTTGGATGAACTCCAAGAAAAACTCATTAGAAGTTTTCTCTTGGGTCTGTTTCGCTGAAAGTCCTGACCTTTTCTCATTTGCTATAAATTTAGTTTTGTGACGGGATCTGTAAAACAGTGAGGCATGGCCAAATGGCTACACCACCAAATCCACAAACCACTGGGAGAAGAATCTGTAGCTCTCACAGGAAGTGTTTTAGCAGGGAATTGGCTGTTTTAGCAATTTTGGTCATGTCTGCACAAAGCCAGATCATCTGGCAGGGTCCAATAACTCTGACTTCCTTTATGTGAGTAAGGACATAAGGAAAGTGTCGGCCTCATCTTCCCTTAGCTGAATCACTGTCTTATCACAGCTCTGATAAGGCAAAACTGATGTGTCATGTGGCCAAACTTTGCACTGCAGCAGCAGTCCCCTTCCCTGTTCCCAGCTCTTCTCCCACTCAAGCAGAACAGAGCTCGTGCTTCATTAATTTATGTTCCTTGTCATTGCTAGCTGTCCCAAGGCATTCAGTCAGCAACAGGAGCAACCACTAAAACTAAAATCCCACATGGTCATGTTCAGAGGCACTGCCCTGCAGAGAGGGAGGGGAGTGTGCTTGCCTCATTCAGGCTGGGTATTTTCCTACTGGGAGTTCTCTTCTCCTGTGTTTGCTTTTCCACCCATCAGGATGCACCTTTAGCTATCCAGACTCCCAGTTTTGAAGGAACTCTTCCTGGCTGCTTCACTGCGTTGTGGTGCCTGCAGAAATTAGCAAGGAATAATGAACCACTGCTAAAATCCTCACTTTGTCTAGTATTGTAAATGCAGGTGAACTCGGTGGGAAGAAATGCTGATGTCTGTAGTTCAGAAGCTGAGTGATTTCTTTATTATAACTGTACTATAATACATTCATATACTATTTAAAGGAGATACTAAAACTACAAACCTGCATTTTCTAACTACCTCATAGCTCGTGACCCTCTCTGAGAGCCCAGCCTCAGGTGGGTTGGATTGGCCATCAGGCTCAAACAATCCTCACCAGAATCCAACCAAGCAATCACCCCAGGTAAACAATTCTCCAAACACATTCCACATGGGGAAAACAAGGAGCAGAAATAGAAATTGTTTTATCTTTCTTCTCTCTGTGCCCCTCTATGAAAAAATCCTGAGAGGGGGAAGAATGTGCCTGCCACAGCCTAGCCCCACCTTCACCATCCCACTGCTCCCTGGCTTCCTGGAAGGGACGGATTTGGAAGTGCTGGAAACATTACAAGCTGGGGAACTGAGGAACACAAGCCTGTTGCTGTCAGCATTCTTATCTGAACACAGAGGGCTCAGGCTGACAGACACACCACGACCAGCCCTCAGATCTCCAAGAGCAAAGCACAGAGTCCCTCACTTCCTGCCACTCTCTTAAGCAGCAGGGGAATAGAAAGGACACGGAGAGGTCAATCTTTGCTCAGCTCAAGGAATAATATGTGTAAGGATGAAGGAGCTCGTTTCTGCCTTCAAACTGCAAGGACATGACTGCTGTCACCTGAGAAGAGAGCAGCAAAGGCCCAGCAATGCCAAGATAACTCTCTGGCTGAGACAGAAGAGCCTTTGAGCATGTTTCTTCTGCAAGTCTGGCCAAAGCTCAGGGAAAAAAGATAAGAGCCCCATCAGCTCAGATGTGACCAGTCTGCAGCTGCAGCCAGTCCACAACAGCACTTCACTTGAGGGAAAGAGAAGTAGATAAAGGCCATAGAGATTTCAGACCATTATCTCTGCTACACGGGAGCTGTTCCTAAGCCAGAGCAGGGCTTTCTGCCAGGACATGAGCTTTGAAAAGCAGGAAAATGTACCTGTACCAGGAGTTGTGTCTTGCAGTCATGTCTTGGCACTGTTATCCCAGTGGGCCCCAAATCACTGGTGGTCAGGGAAAGAGACCAGAGCATCTCCTGAGCCTGTGCAGTTGGGTCACTGTGGACATGAGCTGCAGACTTGTGGGTCTCAGATTCAGTCAAAGAAAGAAACTGAGCGTTTCTAGCCAGGCAGAAGCCTGGGAAAGAGTTGGAAAAGACTATAAATAATTATTTATCTCTCTTGTTATTCACATTGTTTATAGTTAAGTTCTATCACTGTGCGTCAAGCACTTTTCACCAATGGGGTGGATTGTTTTCACTTCAGGACCAATGGTGTTGGTCCTCATGAAGCTCTGTATAAAAGAGCAGTGTATTTTGAATAAACTAGAGTTTTACTCTCAGCAGCCTTCTGAGCAGAGTCTTCTCATTCCCGTCCTGCCGCGACAGCGACCCATACTCTCTTGGGTCCTGGCACCATTAGAGCATGGGATTCATAGAATACCCATGGTTGGAAGGGACTCCAATTCCTGACTCACTGGGTACCTCCACTGTGAGTTAGAATCAACACATGGGAGCTTTCACCAAGTCTCTCAAGTCCATTTTGCTGAAACTCTGATTAATTCCAAAAGCACCCATTCCTGGGATTCTGGGGTGCAACACAGCTCACCCTGAGAGCTCCCAGTTGACTTCATCTTAGCCTGGCTCTGCTGCACACAGGGAGCCAAAAGTAGGCCCTGCCTTTCCATCACGGGATGTGACTCAAGGCTGTTTGGGCTGCAATCCTTCGTTGATTTTCGGCTCATGAGGGGCATGGGGGTGAACAGGATCCCATTGCTGGTGTCACAGGCACAGCGCCCTGAGAGGGAATCCCAGCTCGTGTCTCCCCAGCTGGTGCTGCAGCACAGGCTGGAGGAAGTCATCACCACATGGGTCCAAGCTAATGTGGGTTATCATCCAGCAAAGAGAGAGACCTTTTAGGTACAACTGTAAAATTCACTGTGTGCCAGCAGATATAATAGATGAGAAAAGCGTGGGGAGGGGCGGGGGAAATAAGTGAGAGCATACAAATTAAAGAGCAGCATTTGAAATCTAATCAAATATTCCCTCAATTTACTCACCACCCCTGCAGAGCTGTGCTGCTTTATTAGGTTTCTATTCCATATTCTCTTTTAAAGTGACATTTACATTAATTTACAGTACTAACATGAAACCCTATTGAAAAGCTGAGAGTTTTCGTAACTTTTTATTTTTCAGCAGCTGTCGCTGGGTTTCCAACCAATTAATAAGGAGTCTTTAGTTTCATTTCATGTCTGCAGGAGTGTATCTGGAGTGCCTTCAAGGTGAGCTCCTGCTGGTTTTGTTAAATGTATAAGGGAGACCATCTTGGTGAGTTCAGGTGGTAATTGGCTGTGGAGCAGAAATGTTCCATCCCTGAACCCCTGAATCCTCCAAAGTGCCTTCAGTGCCTGTAATCAGCTCTGGAACCTATTCCAGCTTCAAAACCAGGGACCAGCTGCATTTTGGGGCTGCACTGTAATCAAAATATTCATGTAGAGAGGACTCATATTGCTTTGAAATGGTGGGATTTCATTTCAGGTC